ACATTTCATAAAACTATAATATCTTAATGTTAAAGGAGAACCTAGAGCGGTTTTTTCAAAAGCCTAATATGCATGAGAATCACTTGAGGATCTTATTAAAATGCAGATTATGATTCAGATCTGAGTGGAGGCTGCTTTGTTCAGGGACCACACTTGAGTCCCAAGCCTCTAGGAAAGATGGGTGGTTCTCAGCCTTTACAGCACACTGGAATTCCCTGAGGCGTTTTAAAAAAATACTTATGCCTGGGCCCCCTCCCCACTACTCCCCGTCCACCCCCCTCCGTCATCAGTGAGATTATGATTTATGTATTAGATTTCGAGTGCAGTCTGGGCATCGGGGCATTCGAAAACTCCCCGGTGATTCTAAAATGCAGCGAGGTCTGAGAACTAGCGCCCTAGCTCAGGCTTCTCAAACTTCAGCCCGTATCAGCGACACCTGGTGGTTTTGTTCAAATACTGCCCTGGGCCTCGCTCCCATAGGTTCTAACTCACAGGTCTGGGGCGGGGCCTCAAGTTTGCATTTCTAACAGGCTCCCATGTGACGCTGACTCACTCGACTGGTCCTCGGCCTTGGAGGTCAAATTAACAGCGATGTTTCCCACGTGGGAGAAACTAAGATGAAGTGACTCGCTCAAGGTCTCTCCATACCCGATCTCCTGGCTCCCGATTCGAGCTCGTTCCTCAGTCAACCTTTCCAGCTTTTCTAGCTTTTCTCTTCTGCTTTTACTTGCTCCCCACGTCCGCCGCGGAGCCACGCAATGCCAAAGCGAGCGGCCTCCGGAGGGGCCGGTTTCCTTTTGGGGAAGGCCCTTTCAAGCTGCTTCCACCCTGACGGTCCCCACCCGAAGATAGATAGGCAGGCTGGTGGTGCGCCGCTGCGGGAGACGCTGCGCGCGCGGGACTCTTCAGCACCCTTCGCGGGTCCCTGAATTCTTCATCGGGGGGGGCGGGGGGGAATCCCAGGCAGAAGCCGGCGACGAGGGTGAGCACGGCCAGGAACCCGCGGGTATCTGCAGGGAGAGGGTTGCCATCGCAACCTGAGCACTCCCCCTCTCCAAACCCCACCCCCAGGTGACCAGGCGCCGACGCCCGGGCGGCCCAGGCAGAAGAAGCGGATTGGTGCACCGGGAGGCGGGCTTGGGTGCAGAAAGGATAAAGGTGCCGTGCACCAGGTTTGGGATGAGGATTCGGATCCGAACGTGTCTGTTCCTCCCCGAAGGCAGCTCCAGCTCCGGTGCCGCAGCGCAACGTCTCTGGGGCGCTTCATTAGAAGGTCAGTGGGGAGGTGGTCGGAGGTTTCCCCGGGGAGGGGAGGCCTCTGTCGCGGGGCCCTTAGCCCCCGCTGGCTGGACCGGTGTGACCCTGGAGCGGCGCGGCGCAGCAGACTCAGTGCTCCCGGGCACGAGCACGGGTCTCCAGCCGTCACCACGGAGCTGGGAGAGAGGTTAGCGCCGGGTCTGGGGGAGCGCGGGGCTCTGCTGGGGTCCGCAGGGCGCGACACCCTGACCCTCCCACTTTTTGGAAGGACACCCCTTTTCCCAGTCCTTCCACCCTCCCCCCACTAGGGGATAGGGGTGGGCGAGGCCGTCCTCCTAAAACCGGTTTATCCAGTCATCTCTCCTGGAGGGTGGGATCCCACACCCTTTTCACTGGGAGTCTTGCTGAGGCCTGAGAGCAGTGTGTGGCTCTACTCCCCGCGTCTTCTTGGGTTCCCTCTCCCGGGCAGGTGTGTACGGGAGGAGGCGACGCTAGCTCCGCAGAGCCAGATCTCCTTCTGAGACCCTCTGTAGCTAGCGCTTCGAGCTCCGAGATTCTTTCGGATCATCCCACCGAAGTCCAGACATGATCAGCTGGTGATGGAGTCTTTACATTGACTAAGCAGTTTGCTAAATGCTTTTCATAGATTACTTTCATTAAGTTAATTTAAAAATCTGGCCTGGCTGGTATGGCTTAGTAGATGGGAGTGTCGGCCTGCAAACCGAGAGGTCAGCGGTTGGTTCCCGGCCAGAGCACATGCCTGGGTTGCGGGCCAGGTCCCCAGCTGGGAGCTTGTGAGAGGCAACCTATTGATGTTTCTCTAGTACCTATATGTTTTTCTCCCATTCCTTCTCCCTTTCTTTCCTTCTCTGTTAAATAAATAAATAAATAAATAAATAAATAAATAAATAAAATCTTAAAAAACTTATTTCAACAATCTAATTTGGTGGTCCTATCTCATTGTCCCCTTTCCAAGGATGGAGAAACCTGAAATCTGGCATGGTAGTGTACCAGGCTCACACAGCAAGGAGTGGGGTCCCTTGCCGTGAACCCCCCCCTTGTCTGGTGCTCTTCCCCTGGGGAGGGAAGAGGGGGAGCCCCGCTGGCCAGGGGTGGGGAAGAGGCCCCCTTCAGGTTCCTGCTTATCTTCTCTCCTTGGTACCTGATAGCATCTCTTCTCTTGAAGGAGAAGAGGGGGTGGAGGGAGAAAGATCTGAAAGTCAAGGAAACTGGTGTCCTTTCCCTTTCTCTTGGTAATTAGTATCTTCCTGACCTTGGGCAGGTCAAGCATCCCTTGAAATGGAGAAAAGATCCCAGCTTCGGGGTCACTGTGAAGGTTAAATAAGGGTTCAGGAAAGCAGGTGCTTGTCAACTTTCAGTAGTTATGAGGTGCCCAATTTTCTATTGGGTTGCTGCAATTAAGAGGACACATAAATTGTTATTTAATGAAGCAGAAGGTTTAAAGCTGAGACTGCCTTACAAATGTGTTTTTACAAGCATTTTGGGTCCTTAAAGCAGATTGAGAGGAGGGAGACCCCAGGGGGAAAGGAAGGCAAGCCTGCTCAGCAGTGTCCTTTAACAAGTGGGAGAGGGGCCTGGGCCGGGACGTTGTAGGCTGGGCAATGGCTGACCTTTTGTAAAAGCAGCTTCATTGCATGTAGAGCCAGAAGCCACACTTTGAGGGGAAAGGAATGGAGTTTGGAGCAGCTGGTCACTCCTGGAAACCCCTGAGACTGAAAGGAAAGACAAAGGCAGTAGGAGAACAGTAGGTTCTGTGGGTTTATAAGTAAAGAAAAAGGGACCCATTGGGGATTCAGTGGGACAAGGGGTTAGGGGTGTGGATAAGATTGGGGTTTGGTAGGCACTAAGATGAACCATCAAGTCTCTGGGGACAGCGCTGATCTTCATTAAGTAAATTTCCTAGCTCCTCAGCAATATATGTATAGACCATTTCTTGCAGCCAGATACTTTTATTTTAATTTAAATTTGATTTCAAATCGTGGCTTCAATCACATAACAAAGCTGGCCATGTTAACCATTTTTAAGTGTCCAATTCAATAATTGTATGTTCACATTGTTATGCAGCAGATCTCTGGAACTTTTTCATCTTACAAAACTGAAACTGCGCCAGTTAATTAAGCACTGATATCCAGTTCCCCTTTCTCCCACCCTTGGTGACTACCTTTCAATGTACTGTTTCTAGGATTTCTGACTACTTTAAACACATAAGTCATACAAGTGGAATGGCCTTTTCTGACTGGCTCATGTCGCATAGCATTATGTCCTCATAGTTTATCTATATTGTAGCATGTGACAGGGCCTCGTTTTCAAGGCTGAATAATCCCTCGTGTGCATATACCACATTTGCTTTATCCATTCATCTGTCAGGGGCTGAATATTTTAAGCTTCATGCTTAATGTACTGGAGACATTACTTAATACACCATTATTTACTATCTCTGTGATTAAGAATGATTAAAGCTAGAAATCTGAGATCACAAGACAAGGAGTATTAAGGGAAACTAATAGTGCATCCTGAGGGAAAAGGCTTCTTTTCTTGGTCTTTAATATTTCAAATTAGAGCCTCTTTCATTGTTCCCAAAACAGAATTATCTATCAACCCCACCTTATTCATGATGCCCCTACTACCTCAGGGTTTTGCTGTGGTTAATACAGATGAGGACAAGTGCTGGGAGAGGGGAGAAATTGTATAATAACCACCCTAGAGAGGTCAGATTGGGGAGATGTTCCATTAGTTCTGGAGGTGAGTCTGTTGACCTGTTTCTCTTTCATCCCTTTGCAGTTGAAGTAAACAAGGTGTTTGGGAGAGAAAGTCTATGGACCATCATGTGATCTTTAAAGGGGGACTGAATCCTCTTTGATGGTTTCCACATATAATTTTAATAACTAGCTTGGCAAAGCAAATGTTGCTTTAGAACAACTGTTCTCAAGGTGCAACCTGGGATTCCCCGGGACTTTTTATAGATTCAGTGAGGTCAAAATTGTAAAAATAATACTAAGATGCTATTTTCATCTTTATTCTTTCTCTTACAAGTGTACAGTGGAGATTTCCAGAGGCTGCATAACTTGTGATAAGCTTTTCCACTGATGACGAGTGAAATGTGTGCTTTTGTAGTATGTTTCTAGAATCTTCTAAGTAGGCTTAGAGTACAGATATGTGCATTTTCCAAGATGACCTCAGTTTCTTCTTTTCTTTTAATAAGTCATTACTTTGAAATTCCTAAGTTTTCCTTGTGGCTATATAGAACAAACAGTAGAAAGTAAGTATACTGGACTTCCGGTCAAGATGGAGAGTAGGTAGACACACTTTGCCCCCTTGCGCAACCACAGAAAGGAATTACAACTAAATCTCAAAACAAATAACACCTAAAACTGTCATAAAATCAAACTGTATGGAAGTCCGACAACCACTGTGACATTGGAGCCCGTTGATATCAGCGCTATGCAGTTCCAATTCTAAATCTCCATCCCACCTCTGTTTGCCTGCACCTTGCATGAGGAATTGTTGAACCCCTTTTCAATGGCCCTGCTTCCGGTAGGCTCTTGAATGGCACACTCAGCAGTCTCTTTCATTCCATTCATAAATCCAAGACACGGCTTTATTCATGAGCTGCCAATCTCAGTGTTAATCTTGGTTAAAGACTCTATGCTATGAGGGTTTGGGGAAATAAAGGTTAATAATAAACTCAGCTCCTTTTTTCTTGCAGGGTGTTTGAAGAGAAAATGGTGGTCATTAGGACACTGCAGCGAGATGTGGGCCCGATGCTATGGGGCCCCACCTGCCGCTGTGGGACGGCCGCCTGGCGCGGCCAGCCCCTGGGCACCTCCTCTAGGCAAATTCCAGCAGATACCAACTTCCACTCTGCCTCTTTCTCCAAGGCAGACCAGCCACGTGTCTTAATTACAGGTTGAGTGTATGCCTTGTTTTGTTTTGTTTTTCCTATGTGGCCTCTGTGTGGTTGCGTATTTGCTTTTGGCATCTCTGACGTGCTATCAATGAACATTTATTAATCAGAAACTTACCTCTTCCACTCTTGGCTTCCTCCAGAATATTGCAAGTCTCAAATCTTTATTTTGTCACCATTGCCAGCTCTTGATTTCCCTGCCATCATTTTTAATTGTCTGAGGAAGGATCTAGGAAGCTGGGGGCCCAGAAGCTTCTGCAGAACTCAGATCCGCTACCTTACAAGGGTCAGCTTGGGAGCAAAGGCTCACAGAGAGGGATGCAGGGACGAGAGCATGGATACTGGAATCAGGACCATCTTTTGTTGGCCAAACTCCTCAACCTGAACTCGGTATCATGCATCCCAAGCAGTGACTGCACGTTTGTATGTTGGAGACAGAGAAGTCAGGGCCTTCCCAGAGGAACTCGCCCCACCACCTCTTGTCAGCATCCATCTCATTGTCACCAGACTTGCTCCCTGATCCTCCATACGTCTTGTACACCTGATTCTGTAGCTGCCTCACTCCAAACTTCACTCCCACGTGCTTCCAGCCAATCCAAAGCCATCCCTGATTTGACTGACACATTTTATTCCCTTCTTGCCAGGTTTTCTTCCCTTTGCTTCTAGTCATAATCCTTATTACATTCCTCATAGTTTGTATATTTCTTTCACTGCTTCCTCCTCTTCTCCCGTTGTGAATGGGTTTCAAGTGTAGTCGGTTTTCCTCTGCACTTTGCTCCCTGATTCACCCAGCTTGTTGTCTCTCTGGCTTTATTCCCTCCTGCCTCCACCAACAAAGCATCTTCCAGGGCCTGTGTGAGCATCCGTGGGCCTGGTTTTAGTCCCATATTAACCACTGCTTACAAGAAATCCTACTTGCCGTGTCTTCCTGCCTTATTCATTTCTCCCAAATGAAATGTATGGTTGGGTCCCCCCAGTGTATTCCTAGCCCCTTGGGTCTCCCATTTCTATCAGTGGCAATTTTTAATGCCATTTTGTCAATGTTAATGCCTCCTCATTGGTTCAGTTATCTGCTCTTTTTTTCAGATGACATCTTGGTTTATCCCCTCTCTTACTCCTTTCACATTCCATTCCAATTCCGATGGAGGATGGGGTTCTGGAAAATCCCACCAGAGACTGATACAAACTATTATATTTGTCTTTGAGTATGTTGGCTCCTGAAGCTCACAACTTCAGACCCAACAAGTTACAAAGGCAAGGCTGGGAGCAAATTCGTGGCCCAAGGAGCTAGGAGGTTGTCCAACTTTCTTGTAAGTTTTTTCTTCCTACACCCTTTCTCCCCTTTGGCTACTTTGTGCTGGAGTAGCTTTGTCTCTGGAATTAATATTACCTGTACTGACTTCTGTCCTTGCTTGGAGGAGGTAATTCAATTCTCTCAGGCCAAGCCGGGACTTTACCTAATTAGCTAAGATTATAAATACAGCCTTATGCTGTTATTACATACTGGGAATAATTGCATTGGTTACATTTGGAGTGAAGTTTTACTTTTTTTCCCCCTTCATCTAGGGGGTCTTGGTCAACTTGGAGTGGGGCTTGCTAACTTTTTAAGGTAAGAGTCCTAAAAGTTTAAAGTTAAAGTCTGAGTTATTCAGTATGGAAAGTTTGTCTTTGGTGCCATTTAATCTTTTGTCTCCCCTCTAACCCCCTACTATTTTTCAGAGACCATATCTAAAGTGGCTGTTTAGAATACATTTCATTTTGCCTCTTAATATCATAGACACTGTAACAGGTTTTTGACTGAACATCTCCCACATTGGTCCTTTGCCCCCTCTTTTCTCACTTAGAGTAAGATTACGTAATTCCAAATGAATCACTTGATTTTTAGATGTTTGGGGCAGGGGGAAGTATGTGTAGAAACTGGCAAGCAATAGTGTGGGACTTAGAGTGGGATGGAAGGATAAGAGCAGGAAGAGAGGAATGAGGAGGGAGAGGTAAAAATTTAGGGGTACAGGAAGAGATTGGTGGCAAATATAAGGACGATAATGGAATGAGAGTGGGAACAGAAGATGGGACTGTGAAAGGGGAGCGGGGGGGGGCAGGCCAGCGTGTGGTCAGAACTGAAGGCGTGTGTGTTTGGGACAAGAAGGGAGAAAAGACATGAAAAAAGGAGGGTTAGAGGCCGACAGGAAATTGCAGTTCCTATTTCAAAGATTGTTTTCATAGAACCAGTTATACCCTAGTTGTACCAGCTCATGTGTATTGATTTTCCCTTTAGGAAACGATTTGGGAAGGACAACGTGATTTTGTCTGACATAAGGAAGCCCTCGGATCATGTGTTCCGTAGTGGTAAGACATCAGTATGCCTTGCTCTTGTTTTTATCTTTAATTCCAAAGTGTAGTTAGGGGAGCAGCTCATGGAATCAGTGTTCGCAACAGCTCATAACCAGGCTCGTGAATTAAAGAAAGAGAAGCTATTGAGGCCCAGATATATCACTTAAAAATATTTCGTACTTTTGTCCTCAGCAGTTCTGTAAAATGTCAGTAGTAACACCGCTGCTTGTTCAAGTGTTACAAGCACAGGAGGGTTCTTGTGAACATGAAGTAAAGTTTTGGAATACGATCTTTGAGTATCATTTGGAGTAGTATCTTTGGAATAAAAACTTTGATTCTTGTCTCTTTGAGTTTTTAGTTAACTTCTTGGTTCAGAGAGCAAGGAAGCAAAAATCAAATCCTGTATTGAGGAAAATGAACTTCCAAAATTTGGAGAAATTAATCCTCATATGTCAACAGACTTGCTCTTAAACTACTGTGTACTCACACACACACACATCTCCAACTCCTCTAGCCAAGTTTTCTACTAACTCAGAAATGTTTTTAGAATGTCTTCTAGTCCTTTCTGGGTCAGTACCATTCTTTTGCTGCTTGTGGGAGGGGAGTTTGCTATAAGTGGGAAAAACTGACATTGAACAAGATCAGCTCTACATCTAAAGTAACTGGATATGATAAACTTGTGATTTGTGGCTCTTCTATACCAGCGATTTTCAACCTTTTTCATTTCATGGCACCTGTGAACTAATTACTAAAATTCTTTGACACACCAAAATATATATTTTTTCCACTCTGACAAAAAAAAAAGGTATAATTTTGATTTGTTCACACCAGACAGCTATTACTGTGTTGGCTGTTGTAATTTTTTTTTTTTAATTTGACAGTCTAAGGGAAAAGTGGTCAGTGCCTCTGACTAAATAGTCAGGCACTGCAGGATTTAAAAATTCTTGTGGCACACTGGTTGAAAATTGCTGCTCTATACCATGGTGTTTGTTTTGGTTTTTAAACCCATTTATCTCTTCTTTTAAAAATACACAACTTTTAAGCAGTTGAAATCACTCTTCATGTAGGGCTGGAGTTAGCATTCCTGACTCAAACCAGATGCTGGCTGTGATCATGTTTCTTCCACTTACTGTTTGATTCTGGCAAGTTCTTAACCTCTCTGTGCCTGAGTTTCCTCATCAGTAAAATGCATCTGCCTCAAAGGTCGTGTGAGAGCTTTATATAGAAAGCCCTAAGACAGCTTCAGCAAGTCTAAGTCCTGTATAAGCATTAGCTTTTATCAGCTGAGGTGGTTACAGTTGGTGATTCTTCCATAAGAAAAATGACAAGTAGTCCCCAAGCAGTTCAGTTGCCATGTTGGTACTAATGAAATACGCAGGTCAAGGTGGGGTGTGGGGGAGAAGGATGGACCATTTATCTTTTTGAACCCCAAACTCTTTACTTCCTATGATTTCACTGTGTTCCTTGTAGGCCCATTTATATATTCCGACATCCTGGATTACAAGAATCTTCGAGAGATTGTGGTAAACCACCGCATCACCTGGTTGTTTCATTATGGCGCTTTGCTCAGTGCGGCTGGAGAAGCAAATGTACCCTTGGCAAGAACCGTAAATATCACTGGTAAGTTTCTGGATCTTGCCCAAAATGACCTGTTTGTCAATTTTTCCAGTTTTCCAGAAGAGGTTTTTCAGATTGTGATAATACTGTCTGTTGGTTTCAGGATTGCATAATGTTCTGGATGTTTCCGTGGAACACAATTTGCGATTGTTTGTGCCCAGCACAATTGGAGCTTTCGGACCCTCTTCTCCCCGGAACCCAACCCCTGATCTTTGCACGCAGAGACCCAGGACCATCTACGGGGTGTCCAAGGTCCACGCCGAGCTCATGGGAGAAGTACGCAGGGCTTGGCAAGATGACTCAGTGTTTCCTTTTCTCTTTTGCCTCAAACACCTGCTGATTTATCCTTAAGGGGACTTCCTCTTCCTCCATCCCAGTCCCTAGAAATATTCATAAACTGACTGTGTTCGCCAAGAGGCATGTACAGGTAGCCCTCAGCCATTTGGTACCATTCAATGCTTCCTCAAGGCTCCTCCAATGGCATTTGCTGCTCATTGTATTTGCTTCATTCTTCTGCCATTATTGGTAGTATTGATAGTAACTTTAACACTTTGTATTATGGAAAACTTCAGACATCTTCTTGGTTTTATTTATTTATTTTTATACTCTATGTCTTTATAACTCTAGCAAGTTTTAGTTGGTGTCTGGTCCTTCAGCTGATATGTCACCGGGGTGACCCCTTGGTACCCCCCTGCCCTCCCCTGTGCTCTTTCCAGTGCCACACTGCAGGGGCCTGCTTGTGGAGAGCTGTGTAAGACAATGAGCAGGGACTCCCTTCCACAGAAAGGTTGGAAATTCCTACTATGGGCTGATTCATTATTTACCATGTTGATGTGTCCCCAGAATGATGATTCTTTAAAGATAAAAACTGAAGGGTTATTTGTTAAAGAAAAATGAGATAAGCCTCAGTCTTCCTTTCCTTAAGGAGAATTTTAATAATAACCGCAAGAGATGATATTTCAGAAAAAGGCTACTATTTCTTTGTATTGCTCCATCTGACTTCAAAGATTCTTTTTAAAATAAGTTTCCTCTTTTTTGTAGTATTATCATTACCGGTATGGGTTAGATTTCCGATGCCTGAGATATCCTGGTATCATTTCAGCTGACTCCCAACCTGGAGGAGGGACAACGGGTAAGCGTGGCATCCTATTTCTTTCGTCTGTGAGATGGACTCTCTGATATGTGAGATAGGAAACGGTGGCGATGGGCCTTCCAGCCGTAAGCCAACTGGAGTGTCTGCGCCCTGTCCAGGAAGCGCATCTGAGAAGCTCAATGAACCCTGTGGACTTACACTCACTAACGGCAGCTCATGCAATGTTGTAAATGCAGCTTGGGCGTGGACACTGGGTGCACAGTGCCAGAATCAAAAAGATAATATTTGAGAATAAATTTGTTACTCACAAATGTAGGAAGATACCAAATAAGAAATAGCATCTTTGATGACAGGCTTCGTTCCTTAATACAGACAGCTCTATGAAAATGGACTCTACACATTGCATATTGAAAAGGAACATAAGCCTTATCATTATTATTACTAATTTGGATTCAAGTGTGCATTATATTTCCTAACTCCTACATTAGAAATCCTTCCCATATGTGGGGGGTCCTGAGATACAATATAAAAGATGCTTGACAAAATATGAGGGATTTTAAAGGAGGCTTTGGTTTTTGTTGCTTTTAAAAAGCTTTCTCCTGAGCAGGGTGCCTCTCCAAGTCTTCACTGGGGACCCTGGTCATCCCTGAGGCCCTTTCAAGGGCTCTGAGTGGTCAAAATCCATCATATCAACACTGAGATGTTATCTGCCTTTTCCCCTCTCCTTTGCAAGTGCACTGTGAGTTTTTCAGAAGCTACGTGATGTGTGATAGCACAGCAGGCTGAACGCACAAGCAGATAGAGGACTTCAGTTGTTTCCTATGAAGCCAAACAGTAATGAGATTTTCAAAACATAAAACATACCATTCTTCCCACTGAATTTTCTTTTGTTTGGAAAATATGTTCTTTTTTATATAAAATGTCACACATATGAATATATTAAGGTTTGTTATTGTCATTTAAAAATGTAAGATTTAAAAAAAATTTCTCAGTTTCTGATATAGTCAGTACTGATATAATTCACCTTAATAAAACCTCTTTGGGGGTCCTCAGTGGTTTTTTTTCTTATGAGCATAAAGAGGTTCTGAGACTAAAATGATTGAGAACCACTGCTTTAATCTAAGAGGCTCACTTCTGGTTTTGCTCTAAGAAGACCCACAGACAGGATTCTCTTTCAGACTACGCCATCCAGATTTTCCATGACGCTGTAAAGAATGGCAAATTTGAGTGCAACCTGAAACCCAGCACAAGGCTGCCGATGATGTACATCGATGACTGCCTCAGGGCCACCCTGGAAGTCATGCAGGCTCCGGGTGAGGCCCTCTCCATGAGGACCTATAACGTCAATGCCATGAGCTTCTCCCCCGAGGAACTAGCCCAGGAGGTTCTCAAGCACATACCAGAGTTCCAGATCGTGTACAACGTGGATTCTGTCCGACAGGACATAGGTCAGTACATCGCTGCAAACCCCTCAAAACCAAAGTTAGATTTCATCGTGTGCTGTGAGTCCCTTGAGGACATTAACCGTGGAGGACAAGAGGAGCCTGGCACCTTCCCGAGGGCCCTCACACATTCTGGGGAAGGAGCTGTTGAGCCAAAGCCCACAGATGCTGCAGTTTTGGGAAGTGGTATCAGAAGTGGGTGGAATAGTTTCATTCCAATTAAACAGCTTGTCAGCCTTGCACCATTTTACAGTTTCAACATAAAACAAGCAGACAGTATGAAAGCAGCCCTGGGTTTCCAAATATGGTGAACATTCCACTCAGTGGCCCTAGCACCTTTGGGTATAAGATCCTTGCCTTAAGAGTTTGTGTGGGATTTTAATAGTGTATGACAGTTCACAGTGCCTGGCAGTAGATGTGTAACACAGCCTTCTAATCTAAGAGGGTGACTGTATGCACATAATAGCTGCTCTAGTCTGCTCAAAGGGGGAATGTCTTTTGTGATACCTTGTATGATAGACCTTTATATAAAGTGTTTTAGACTATTTTGTAGTGCTAGAGACTGTAAAACTTAAGCTATTCCTCTGTATCTTTTCCTAGCGGATAGTTGGCCACTGAATTTTGATGACAGCAATGCTCGGAAGGACTGGGGATGGAAACATGATTTCGACCTTCCAGAGCTGGTGACGACAATGTTGAACTTCCATGGTTCTGTTAGTAGAGTTGCCCAAGCTAACTGAAGGCCTCAGAAGGAAGAACTCACGTATCCTGGACAGCTCTCAAGGGAAGGCAGTAATGACCCCAAGGCCATAAACAACAAGGAACCTAGATTATCCAGAGTCAAAGACCTAATTGGACTAAATTATGGCAGCTCATATTGAACTGCCCAATGGAGAATCAGGTTGGCTTTAGCCTTTCCAAAATGCTGTTGGTTTGGTGGTAGGTCTTCTAAATCTTTGCTGTTTGCCTAAACTTAGCCAAACACATATCACAGAATGAAGACTTAAGTCATAATAGTTTCCATTTCCTTAATTAAGAGGAAGTGACAATTTCTGAGAAGGTGGAAGTCTGTAATGTTTGTGTTTAATTAAATTTAATTTAAATATCACTTCTGAGCCTCTTATTCTCTTGACTAGAGACCAAAGATTACATTTTAGAGACTATCAAAGATGATCTAATTTAAAAGCACTTCTTTACTATCCCATCAGAACAAAAAATAATTCAATTTTTCTATTTCTCCCATGTTCATTATATTCAAGAGATTTTAACACTTCTGCAAAAATTAATCACTTTTCATTTATTTTTCTGTAAGAAGGTGTATCTGTAGGAATTAAGGAAAGCAAAGATAATGTAACTGTTTTGGTCGCCTTCCTGTTAGTGAGCTAAGTGGTAATTAACAGGTATGTAATTTCCTCAGCTGGCAAGTCAGTCTCCCAGAGGAGCTGGTGTCAATGTACAGGTTCCTGGGCCCCCCTGCAGGATGACTCAGTAATGGGGATGGAATCTCGAAGTGCCGCCAGTTGTCCTATTCCAGCTCCAGCCCACTAGTGTTGACCAATGCCAAACACTATTTTCTGAAGAGAACTCTCTGTTACAGCCTTTTTTATACCCTCTAAGATTGAGGCTTCAGAAGAGCTTACTCTTAAACCCTCTGAAGCCATTACTGTGTAAATATATACAGATTTACTTTTTTCCAGCTACCTCCTTACGTTTTAGCACATGTAAAATCACTAGAAAGTGAAACCACACAGATGAATCATGGGTACTGGACAACAGCTGTAGAGGATTAAAACATATTTATATTGTGTGCTTATTGACAATGCTATGTATTTGGAATTTTTAACTGCTAGGTATACATGTCATTTTTTTTGGAGGTGTAACTGGATTTAAATTTTAATGGGAGAACTTGTAGATATTTGAATTCTTTAATAGTCATATTGATGTAGTTTTTTTCCTATGTAACATAATTAAGCTAGTAATAGGGTGGTTTTTTTAAAAAAAAAAAACTTTATTGAGGTCTTTAACATATACTGTTAAATTTAGTATACATATTTTTTCATTATATTCACAGAATTGTGCAACCATTACTATATACTAATTTTCAGCTATTTCAAATACCACAGAGAAATAGCATCTTAGCTCTACGTACCCTAGGCAATCATAATTTACTTTCTGTGTTTGGATTTGCCTGTTCTAGACATTTCACATAAGTGGAATCATGCGATATGTAGGCTTTTGTGACTGGCTCTTTAAATTTAACATGTTTTCAAGGTTCATCCATGTTGTAGCATGCATTAGTACCTTATTCATTTCATCACTAAGTAGTATTCCGTTGTATGGATATGTGTACATACACATTTTGTTTGTCCGCACATCAGTTGAGGGACATTTAGTTGCACTTTTTTGCTATGAAAATGTTGCTATGAATGTCTGTGTAGATAATTGGGTGTAGAAGCTCAGTTATTTCTTATTGTTCAGTTTGACAAACAATTCTTAAACTCTCTTAATTTATTCTCAGTTATCTTAAAGGAACAGAAATTATGTTTTTCTTCCATGAGAAGGGAAGAAACAACTGACGAGTGACCCTTCAACTCTTCCACTGTTTCCACTAGGTTCCTTGGGCGACCTTGTAATTGGGACTCTTTGCAGGGATTTGTTCTAGAATGGCTATAGAGTTTATAAATGCACCTCCAGGGGAATCTCAGAGAAGCATAAAAGAACAACGATTCCTCTGAATTACAAAGACAATTCTTACTCAATGACATCTTTGCATTCTAATTAAGACTAAAATTAGAGTCACCATTTCTATTTAAACACTTTTTCTATCTTATGCATATCTTGGGATCCAGATGACTCCATATTTTACTATAAAAAGTTTTCCTTTCCTTTGGGAGAAAGGACTTTTATGGTTAATTTAGAAATGACCTGATGAAGGTCATTTAACCACAATTTTTTTTTTTAATTTTAAATAAGGAAAGGAAGAATATGATGGTTGTCTTTGCTCTGGCGTTTTTCATCTTGAAGACTTCCACAGACCACCCACGTGTTATTAGCTAACATGTTTTATGCTAACTTGTTTTCTGCGTGGCATTGCCATGGTGTGCCTTTGCGTCATCCCATGAAGAGCGCAGCCTAATGGCTGCCGGCAAGGCAGGCTGCTCAAAGTCGAGCCGCAGGCCCTGGGCAAGGGATGCTACTGCCCAGCTTTGGATGCTTCCTGTAGAAGGGGGTGGATGTGAACAGTATTTTTTAACTTGCTTAGGTCAGATTGATAATATGGTATTGTGTTTTATGGTAAGGGCATGAAAAAAAAAACATTTAATTTTTTTCCTTAAAAAATGTTTCTATTAAGAATTTAATACTAAATTAAGAATTTAAAACTTCCTTAATTTGAGGAGAGAAAAAGTCACACAAGTCCAGGAAGCACAGAGGGTCCCACTCGAGAGGAACCCCATGAGACCCACTCCAAGACACATCATCATTAAAATGGCAAATATCAAAGACAAACAGAATCCTAAAGCAAGCAAGGGAGAAAGAGGTAGTAACATATAAGGGAGCCCCGTTACGGCTAGCAGCTGACTCCGCAACAGAAACACTGCAAGCCAGAAGGGAATGGCAAGAAATCTTCCAAGTCATGAAAAGCAAAGGCCTGCAACCAAGACTGCTCTACCCAGCAAGGCTCTCAATTAAAGTGGAAGGTGAAATAAGCAGTTTCCCAGACAAAAGAAGGCTAAAAGAATACACCTCCACCAAACCAGCACTGCAAAATATGCTAAAGGGACTGCTTTAAGATGAAGACAAAGTTTCTATGAATACCTAGTTCCTTTCAGAGTTGCCAATACTTGATATTACCAATATTTTTAATACTCATTAATCTGATTGTGACAATGACGTTATTTTAATTGTTCCTTTGTTATTTGTAGAAACTAAACCTGTTTTTGTATATTTCTTGCCTATTTCTATTATTTTTTAAAAAACTTTAAATGACTTCTTGGTATTCTTGATCCATTTATCGATTAAAGGTTTGTAGAACTTTTTTCCCTAAAACAAACAAGAAAACCTATTAACCTGTTTTAGATGTGTTGCAAATACTTTCCTATTCTCTTCCTTGTCCTTTAACTTTTTTTATATGTGTATTACTATATAGTCTTAAATGTTTAATATAGTCACATTGTCAATATTTACTTCAGAGCTTCTGAGATTGAATATTTGACTTCAGGTCATGAAAAATATTAGTTCTATTTTCTTCTAAAACTCCTTAGATTCTACATATTGATTTTCAACTCACCTGAATAGTTCTTGTATAATGTGTGAAATAGGGCTCTGTATTTGTTTTATTTCAAGTAATAGTGGTCTATGCACCTAGTTTGTTGAATAAGTCTAGTTTTCCCCATTGATTTGAAATATCAACTTAATTATATATTATATTGTTAGGCAGATATATACATTTGTCTCTAGAATGCTCATTATATTTCATTGGTCTGACAGATTATTTCTGTGCTGGTGTCATGTTGGTTTAATTGCTGAGACTTTAGAATGGTTTTAAATTTTCCTAATATTTTATAATTAACTTTGACATTTAAAAAAATAAAATCAATCTGCATTTAAGAAAGAAAGAACGAACAAAAGAACGAACGAAAGAAAGGGAGAGAGATGGAACTCCTACCTTTTGTGACAACATGGATGGAACTGGAGAATATTAAGCTAAGTAAAATAAGCCAGTTGATGAGAGACAAATACCATATGATCTCACCTATAAGTGGACTGTATTCAACAAAATAAACTAATGAATAAAATAAACCACAGGGATGGAATCATGGAGCAGAATGAAAGTGACCAGAGTGGATGGGGAAAGAGGACAATGGTGGAAAGAAGGGGAAAGGACTAGACAAAGAACATGTATGAATGACCCATGGACATGGACAACAGAGTGGGAATTGACTGTGGGAGTTGGGGGTGGGGGTGGGATGGGTGGAGGGGGGTAAAGGGGTAAAAATTGAGGTAACTAATAGAATAAGCATGATTTATAAATTTAAAAAATAAAAACAAAAATGTAAAAAATCCTTTTTTTTTAAAACTATAAATGCAGTGCTAAGACACAATTGTCATGTTTGGGAACAGAATCATTTGCAAGTTTTGCCACCTAACATTCTACTAGCTGTTTTTAAATATTTTCATCCATTCTTCTCAGATGTGTTACAAGTAACTTAAATGTGGTTTTAATATTTACTATTTAAAAACAGCTACATAATAATCCATTGAATGGATGAACATAATTATATAATCATCCACTATTTAATTGCTTTGCTTAGAAGACCAGAAGTTTTATTATTAGGTCAAAGGTTATAAACACTTTATTTGCCTCTTAATTTTATGTAGTTAAATTCCTATTGAGTAAGTTGAATTTGTTTGAAATAAAATTCTGCTCTAATATCAACACCCCTTCTTTTGGTACATATTTATTTACCAAGGTATGTTTTACATTTATTTAAAAGTTTTATTTTTAAAAAGATTTTGAGAATATAGCCTTTCTTTTTTGCTGGAGAATCTTCTTTTAAATTTTATTTTTCAATTACAGTTTACATTCAATATTATTTTGTATTAGTTTCAGGTGTACAATATAGTAGTTAGACAATCATATACCTCACAAAACGACCTCTTGGATATTTCCACTATCCACCTGGCACCATTCACAATTATTACAATATTATTGACTATATTCCCTATGCTGTGCTTTATA